CTGGTGCTTTGACCGTAATTTGGAACGTTTTGTTTGCTAGGTGGATAAAGATAAAGCAGATGTAGTTAAGAAAGTGGTTTTGATCTTTGAAATTCATAAAGATTTCGTCCATGAAAGATAATGCAAATTCACGCCTGAATTGAAGCGAACCGTAATTTGAGCTTTTTGTTTGCATAAGTTTGGGTGATATTTTAAAAATATTTTATGTTGTGTTGGAGATATCACATTAATTAATGAATTAATAATTAAAATTACAGAATAAAGAGATGTATGGTAAATCAATTTGTCATAACAAAACGTTTGAGTGGAACCGAAGAAAATGTATAGTATTTCCAGTGGAACACTTATGTGTTTTTTTTTTGTAAGATAGAGAGTCCGCTATTGTGATGGCTTAGATTCGCATCGATTTAATGTTAAATCATGAGGCCTAAAAATAAACATTGCCTAATTTGCTACGCTAGATTTGCGTAACATTTCCAATTTATTGCACTGGATTTGCGTAACATTTCCTGTTTGTGTATGTTTTTGTTGTTCGCACCTCAATTTGAACGTGATTTATACTGTAAACGTCCAGCTTATCGACAGCTCAATTTTGTTCATCTTGTTAAATCCCTGATGAAGTCTGTGTGATCAGACGAAACCGGTCGGATGATAAACTAAGTTGGCAGGATCTGTTGCTGTGTGTTGCTCACTAATTTTTATTTTTAAAAAAAATTGTTGAGAAAAAAGTTTTAAAAAATTATAAAAAGGATGTACCAGTCTTTTCGGATGTCACCGATGCCTTTTCCAGTACCACCATTTTTTATTACAACAGTAAAAGATATATGTACAATCAACACTTTTGAAAAATTGCTTAACATTTTGTTCAGTGAAGTATACTGCTAACATTTTACAACACGATTGTTTTCTGCAACTACAAATGACCTGTCTCTATATTAGGTATTAAAGTTTTTTACCGCTGACCACTCACATTCAGTCATTTTTCTTCCCCCGACTGATCCGATGGTAACTCCATAAACCCCAGCATGCAATGCGAAGTTATTCACGAGCTTCGTGTGGCCTCTTCGTGAGGGCCTGGTAACAGAGACGGCTAAGAAGGCGGGACACGAGCAAACAGCGAACTTTCTTTTAAGCTCAACGAAGCAGTTCCAACCCTGATCATGTAGTAAAATTTCTAGTCCATTAATCATAATCTTAGTGGCAGGAGTTAGCCAGCCTGTCTTTTTCTGCGGGCTCACACGGCGCCCTGAGGACCTAGAGGGGTCTTATTCTCTCACCGATTTGACTCAATTTGCTGAAAGGTTCGCGGTTGGACAATTTCTTTCAAAAAATCATTGGCAATAAAATTTCCAGGGAAGAGTATCTAGGAAAGTAAGTTAGGTAAGCTAAAAAGTGTTCGTTTTGGGTATACGGTGGTCGAAAATGTGATCTTCGTTCAAGGTCGGACCTCAGGCAAAATTCTGACGAACAATCCCTAACTAGCCAGGTGGATTTTGGATGGGCTCTTTGGAAAACACATAAAGCAGCCGCCTTTCCTAAGAAAGCAGACAGGGGAGGAAACTAGTGAGGCAACCGCTTCTGATGTGGCTTCCCAAATATTGAGATTAAGAGATGACACTGGCCAGAAATGTTGTCTAAGACTGACTAGTTGATAGAGCAGGAAATCGCTCGATACTTTAGCCGCTTATCTGCCCTAACAAAAATTGGTTTATCGAAGAGGTTCCCCTCTGTAAGTATGAATGAGGCCGATGTCGGTAATCTAACATCAGAGGTCGAAACTGACCGAACAAGGCAGAAGATAAAGAGGGACCTTGCAAAATTTAGACGAATACTGCAGGAGAGGGTACAGCTGCTTTAGGCTGCAAAAAATTCAGACCTTTGCATCTCACTTTTCTTCCAAATTTATTGTCTTTGTCTATGTACGAAAACAACTCGCTATGTCTTCGGATTTTTTCATCAAGGGAAATTTGCAGGAAGACTGCTGGCTCATACTTTAATGAATTTTACATTCATTAGTCTATAATTTGATTGTTTACTATCATTATCGCACAGTTCACAATAAGGAAACTGTAACAGTAGAGGAGATTTTAAAGTCACATGTCGCATTCTTGTTGACGTACATGTTCCCGTTTTGACAACTTCGGCTTTTCCAAACCGCGGTGACGGGAAACTATGTCCTCCTCGTTTGAAAGGAAATATGGATAGCCCCATAAAATTCATTAACTGCGCCATGTTTCCAGAAAATAAGGCTGCAAAATGTTTTTCCACTTTCCACCATCAAGAAATTCCACGCAGAAATAGTATTTGTATCATGACTGCGTGATCGTTCTTGAGAAGTGAAATTGTTTATCTGTTTTCTCAAGAAAACACTTCTAGAAAGTTCTTAAACCTTCTGTTATTTTATTTGCCTGTTTTTGACTGCAATTATCGTCTGCGTTTGCCATTATTTTCGCTGAATGTCGTGGCCTTTGCGTGCACCTGCGAGCCAGTTAGTACACAGCACTCTTTCGAGTTTCTTTGCTTGGTGTCGGGCTCAGGTGTGTAGGTCTGGCTCAAAAGATATCTACACGCTGCAAGAGGGTTTTCAAATACACCCAAACCGCTACGATTCGTCAAAGGCAGTTTGCGAATCGTTCTACTGGAAGTTGATTCGTGGTTAATCGGAAATCTGATAAACCATCTCTCATTAGATGGAAACGCGTACCGGAAGTCAATTTGCAAGACACTTGGAAATCGAACGACTCGTCACACCGGAAGTCGATTTGCTAGACAAAATATTCCGTGAGACGAACCTCAGTATCGCCAAGCTCGGGAAATAGATATAACAAAATATCTGTTTCACGGCCAAAAGCGTCGTCGCCATCCAGCCTATTCCGCTTCCCACCGACAAACTCCTCTATCTCCACAGACATACTTCTTAACAACCGAGGTAAATCCAAATAAGTTTTAAATGCTCGTTAAGTAACATCGAATGGTAGTAAAAGCCTCACCTCATGATCTCCACACCTAAATGTGTTTATTAGTCTCTTATTTATCACTATTTTACATATGGCTGCGCACCCTGGGGAAATAATTATAATGCTCCACTTTCTAAAGTAGTCAAATTACAAAACAAAGGGTTCGCATAACCATGATATTCTTCTAACGGAACTGATTATTTCTCATTATACTGGTTTGGCACTTTTGAAAGTTCCTGACGTTGTCAAACTCAATACATCTTTTATTTCTTTATGACTAATTTAATGCTGACAAACATTCCAACTTAAATCTCAAAAAATTTTGTCCAACAATTATCGGTGGTATATCTGGAATTATATTCCTCAATTAACTAAAGAAAAATTAGCTAAACAAACGTTTAAAAAACGCTTTCACATTGCTATCTAAATCAATATTAATTATTCATGTACTTCATCTTCTGTCTTCCTTTTTGATCTAAGCTGTTTTATTGAGGTCTAGTTTATTAAATAACTTTTTATACTAGATTATGGGGGCATTATATTAGGTATCTGGATGTACCCCTCTCCTCTCCTCTCAGATATTTGAATGTTCATAATTAGAATTGCCCAGTAATAATTGCCTTGTTTATTTTGTAACTTAACTTACTACTACTTGGAGTGGAGAAATAAATAGGGAGGAAATTAGAATAAATCAATCTTCAAAAGCTCAAATGCCCGGGGAAATGCCCAGGGGGATGTTGAAGCTTCTAGTTGATCGACGCAGTACTCTCGCTACCTTTTGAAGGCGATCCTCAATTATAAAAACAAATCCCAGACTTTGAAAGAAATGAGAGACTGAGACTGAGACTGAGACTGAGACTGAGACTGAGACTGAAAGAAAAAGCTACGAGAGGGAGTCATTGAGGCAAAAACTGAAGAGATTTCGAGATTGCATAAAAACCTTGAGAAATCCTCAATACTGCCATGTTATTTTTCAGTTATAACAAGTGCATTTATTAAAGTCGTAATTTTTTCAAACGGGGAAAGTGGCAGGGGGGGGGGAGGGAAGGATGTTAAAAAAAAACGCACTATTAGGAGCCAACAGGAAGTCATATCATTTCTTTTCACTGATATCAGCTTTGATGAATACTGCGTAAAGTCTCTCTTTGGTTGGTAATTGTTAAGTCAACTGAGATTCTCATTCTTAGTAAAGATATGGTAACGAAAGCGCTAGTTTGAAACACATCTGCAATTTCTATTTTGCTTGGAGTAAGAAACCAAGAGTAAATGAAGGATGCCTTTTCTTTCAGCCTGCACCCCTCCTGGAGAATCCATTAATGCTACTAGTGGTCACATTTCCAGCCCCAATTTTCCCAACAATTATGACCCAAGCAGGATTTGTATCTGGAATATCACGGTACCCGATGGGAAAATCATCAAACTGACCTTCTTGAACTTTACCCTGGTAGCAGATGAAAACGATGATTGTGCTGGAGCGGCAGCAAATAGTGCCCGAGTCTTTATCACAAACGTTGCCTCTCATGGAGGAAATCCTAATGACTTTAAGATCTGTGGTCAAAAGCTTCCCCCTCCTCTGTACTCCGAGGGAAACTTCATTCAAGTGAGATTTGAATCGCGCACCGGCCTTGTAAACAAAGGGTTCAATGCAACCTTTCAGGCGATAGATGGAGATTCACGTAAGAGCTTTTCCTTCAGGGGTAGTTTATGAAGGATGTATAGAAGTGTACTGAGCATGTACTCTATTGAACTAAACGAGAGTTTTGTTGAGTATAAGCTGAAAATAATGAGGTAGACAATCTATTAACAGCTATAGTCTGTAGAAAGAAAATTGAATGTATTCAAGCCTTTCACTCGGACGCAAGCTGTTAATATTTCATGTCGATTATATTGATTTATGTTTAAACATATCAACATACGGAAAAGGAGCTGTAGGCTGTATTGGAAATCAACCAGTTAACCACAGTGGAGTGTAAAAATCAATACTAAAACAGTTTTGGATGCCTGACACAGTCTTTGTTACTCTTTTTAGTGTGCCCAGCAGATATGATCCTCAATGAAACATCAGGTTCTTTCTCCTCACCCTTTTATCCAAGAAACTATCCATTTAACCAGACATGTAGCTGGAAGATTATAGGGAAACAAGGATACGGTGTTGAGCTCACAATACCAGACTATAATCTGCAACGTTGTGGTGATGCTGCTTGCTCGTGTGATTACATGGAAGTTCAGAATAGCTTCAGTGATGAAGTGCCGCCTGGAAAACTATGTGGTACACCAATGGATATTCCTGTAAAGTTTTATTCACTGCACGAAAGCTTGAGGGTGGTGTTTGTGTCCGATGATGCAAACATGGATTATGACGGATTTGGGGCAACTTACAAGCTGTTGAACTACAGTCCTCCAAGTAAGTAGAGAAAACAACTTCCTAAGATCTAAGAGTTCGCTGAGAGAATATGTTACATGCAATAAACTCACCCACACAAGTAATAATAAGGAGCTTAGTTGATAAGAGTGGAGGTTCTCTCTGTTATCAACTCAGGGTGAATGCGAACATCTCTGATGTATAGTGTAAGCAGTGATGTACTGGGATGCCATGCCAACCTTAATTGAATAAAGGTGGTAGGTTTCCAAAGAAACTGTGGTGCTGCGTCGGTCGCGGATTATAAGAAGATAATTGGATTTCATTGACTGAAAGAAAAAGCTACGAGAGGAAGTCATTGAGGCAAAAACAGAAGAGATTTCGAGATTGCATAAAAACCTTGAGAAATCCTCAATACTGCCATGGTATTTTTCAGTTATAACAAGTGCATCTACTAAAGTCGTAATTTTTTTAAACGGGGAAAGTGGCGGGGGGGAAGGATGTCAAAAAAAAACGCACTATTAGGAGCCAACAGGAAGTCATATCATTTCTTTTCACTGATATCAGCTTTGATGAATACTGCGTAAAGTCTCTCTTTGGTTGGTAATTGTTGAACGGAAGCTTTCTTCATAACTTTCAATGACAATTCTGTGTGGTGGCATTAAGGTTTTTCGGAGCTTGTATAGTATTTAAAGCATTCCTGTGTTCTTATGTTAATTTTTTTGTGAGAAATTCCAGAAAACTAAATACTGACAGCTTGGTTAAATATTGGCGCCATTTTTTTCCGGTTTTCTTTCAAAGGGCCTAAACAGTCAATTACGATAACAATTTTAAATTGTCTTTAAAAGGGTCGGGTAACAAGTGTCACCCGAGGATCCCTAACCCTCAGTGAATTTTACAAAAAAAATCACGCATGTAAAAGGAAAACGTCAACTCTCTTTTCTTGTGAACAAGGTTTCAGGAGGAAATCGCGCCTCACGCTGTTTCATAACTTCACGAATCTCGCTCTTCTTTCCGCTAAATTCACGCGTCAGATACTCATTTTCGTCTTAATCACCAGTTACGTATAAATTCCTTTGCAACCCTCAACAAGTGAAGAACGGCTCAGCTAAAAATCTTGTAAGAATTGATGTCTCACACGCACACATAAAAATTTAATCAGTTTGCCTCAGATCAGTTTAACGGGCGTTTAAGCTGCTCAGAAAATATGAGATATTAAGAAGTTAAAAATCAGCTCAGAATTCTTTCTGGTATTAATAGCACTATCGCAGCTAAGGGAGTTTTCTGTGCTTTACCTTTTTTCTCAGATGACCCACACTTTTTAGAATTTGGGATGAACTGTTTCTATTACTTACGTCGAGGAACCTGTTCACATATTCATTTTAACTCGTGAATTACGCGCATGCGCAAGTGCGAGTTGTAGATATGATGTGGGGAATGGCACTCGCTTGTTCGCTCGATTGGTCGATTCCTGTAAACTTTTTTTCAATTTTAGGCTTTTGAGTGCATTTGATAGTTTTTGGCGAGTAATAAACAAGCGAAATGGCGACCTTTGCTGCTAAGAATAGTGTTGAGGTGAAAAAGAAGCCAATGATAATATTAAAAGAGTTAATTTTTTTCGTTCTGGTTTCAACAAGCGGCGCTAGCAACTGGCAGGCGTGCGAGGATTCACAATGAAATAAGACAACAACCTTCGTTTTCCACAAAATTGTAATTTACAATCCTTGAACTTGAAAACAATCCGAAGATTCATTAAAAATATCACTTACTCCGAAGCGCTCGGAGTTTTACAGGTGTTGAAAAGCTTTTTCTGTTGTGGCGTGAGATTGGGAACAAAATCGATCATTACATTTCGTATCGTGTGTTTTTCCTGTGTGAAGCAACAAAAGCTGCCGGCGACTGACGAAATTACAGGTTACACGAAAATCAAATAACACCTAAACAAATAATTTTTAAAGAACAATTTTCTTTTAAGTTTCAAGACAATTTGAAGATTCTAAATAGATATTACGTACTAAAATGCGAAAGTTATACACCACAAAATGGATAAATAGGCCTGAAATGAAATTCTATCTTGTTCTTGATTATACGTTGCCTAGCACGTGACCAAAATTTACCCAGGTGGAAATCCAAAATAACCGTGGCAGTCTTGGCTTAGTTATGTCACTCAAAACTCGTTCCCGTTTGTCTCATCTGCTAAAGAGGGAATCATTAATGTTTTCATTACGACAGTATTGCCTTGATTTTCAAATATTTACAATGATGGAAAGTAAATTTCACTTTTCACCCACATTTACTTCCAACCTTTTCTTTTGAACCAGAAACAAAAATGGTATACGTTTAAAACACATGACATCATCCACATTTCTTTCTGTTCCACAAAAAAAGATGAATTTTAATATGCTGATGACCGTGAAAAATGAAACTAATATTTTAGTTATAGGCACAGTGTATAGCCACAGTGTAAGAATTAAGGATCTTTCCAAGAGGTTACAACATTACGGTGGTAACATAGATAAAAAATATATATAGTTATATATATTGCAGCTTGATCAGGAATAATTGAGTAAACTGAAAAGCAACTTCGGGCTCCTTAAGGCACCTTAAGCAAATCCAATGGCCAGAGCCCTTTCAAACTGGCTCAAAGGCTAATTTGCTTATTAGCGTTAAGCTACATAAAGATTTATCATAAAACAGTGGTACTGTGATGAAAGAATTGTCAGTGATATACAAGAGTGAGCATTTCATCACTCAGGGCAGCATTCCATCAGCTATGGCAAGAAAAAAGACTTCTTGGCTGCGGAATATATACCTGTAGCTTACAGGGAAGTGAAATATTGTGTATTAATTGTCTCTTTCTTCTATCCTAAACAAATCAGAGAATGTCCAGTTAATGAGTTCTGCAGTGGACAACAAAGCATGTACGCAAGAAGTCATCAGCTTCAATTGCTCAGCTAATGCTTATCCAAGAGTGAAGTCATACCAGCTGTTTGAGAACGAAACTGCCATTTTAAACACAAGTGCTTCGGGGATGTGGAGCAAGACTTTGGAAAGTAAAGGAGTGTTTGTCTACAAATGTGTGGCCAACAACTCTCTAGGATCAGAATACAGCATGTATGTTACTGTTACCGTAAATGGTAAGCAAATTAGTCGCTAACGCTTTTTAGGAGTCTACCATTAAGCAACATAATTTTTGTAGACGTGCGTGATCTTAATTATCGTGATGTTTGTCAGGGGTTATTAAGTTGACCAGAATTACACGCACTGTACATTGTATTTTTGAAGTGAAATGGTGCTTGTGTTAAAGTGTACAAGCTGGTCATTAATTACTTTTAAAATCCTTCCACATTGTCACTTTTCTTTTACAGTACCTTCTTCAATTACCCAAATAACACAAGATCAGAATGTAACCGAAGGTGACAATTTAACTTTGACATGTAATGCATCTGGAATGCCTCAACCAAACGTGTCTTGGATTAAGCCTGGTGGTCAGCGTCAGTATGGACACATGTTGGAGTTTACAAACATTAACAGGAGTCAAGCTGGTGAATACAAATGTGAAGCCAGTAACGAGTGTCTTAATGCAACAGAGACGGCAACTATTGATGTGCAGTGTAAGTACATGTGAAAGTCATCCATGGTTACATCTTGTTTCTTGTTTCTCTCTGTCACAGTATATCAATTTGCTTCTCCATCACTGAATTGATGGAGAGACTTGTTTATTCGTAGCTTCAGCATCAGCCAAGGAAAGAGGACGACTCCTTGGCTACTTCATTATACGTAACTTGCAAAGGCCAATGAAATTGTAATATAAATTGTCTCTTTTGTCCTTAGACAAACCAGAGAATGTCCAGTTAATGAGTTCTGCCATGAATGACAAAGCATGTACGGGAAAAGTCATCAGTTTTACTTGCTCAGCTGATGCTAATCCAAGAGTGACGTCATACCAGTTGTTTGAGAACGAAAAGGCCATTTTAAACACAAGTGCCTCGGGGACGTGGAGTAAGACTTTGAAGATTGAAGGAGTGTTTGTCTACAAATGTGTGGCTAACAACTCTCTAGGATCAGAATACAGCATAAATGTTCCTGTCACTGTCAATGGTAAGCAAATTAGTCGCTAACGCTTTTTTAGGAGTCTACCATTAAGCAACATAATTTTTTGTAGACGTGCGTGATCTTAATTATCGTGATGTTTGTCAGGGGTTATTAAGTTGACCAGAATTACACGCACTGTACATTGTATTTTTTTGAAGTGAAATGGTGCTTGTGTTAAAGTGTACAAGCTGGTCATTAATTACTTTTAAAATCCTTCCACATTGTCACTTTTCTTTTACAGTACCTTCTTCAATTACCCAAATAACACAAGATCAGAATGTAACCGAAGGTGACAATTTAACTTTGACATGTAATGCATCTGGAATGCCTCAACCAAACGTGTCTTGGATTAAGCCTGGTGGTCAGCGTCAGTATGGACACATGTTGGAGTTTACAAACATTAACAGGAGTCAAGCGGGTGAATACAAATGTGAAGCCAGTAACGAGTGTCTTAATGCAACAGAGACGGCAACTATTGATGTGCAGTGTAAGTACATGTGAAAGTTATTCATTGTTACATCTTGTTTCTTTTTTGCTCTCTGTCACAGTTTGCCAATTTGCTTTTTAATCATTTATTGATGGAGAGACTTGTTTATTCGTAGCTTCAGCATCAGCCAAGGAAAGAGGACTACTCCTTGGCTACTTCATTATACGTAACTTGCAAAGGCCAATGAAATTGTAATATAAATTGTCTCTTTTGTCCTTAGACAAACCAGAGAATGTCCAGTTAATGAGTTCTGCCATGAATGACAAAGCATGTACGGGAAAAGTCATCAGTTTTACTTGCTCAGCTGATGCTAATCCAAGAGTGACGTCATACCAGTTGTTTGAGAACGAAAAGGCCATTTTAAACACAAGTGCCTCGGGGACGTGGAGTAAGACTTTGGAGATTGAAGGAATGTTCGTCTACAAATGTGTGGCTAACAACTCTCTAGGATCAGAATACAGCATAAATGTTCCTGTCACTGTCAATGGTAAGCAAATTAGTCGCTAACGCTTTTTAGGAGTCTACCATTAAGCAACATAATTTTTGTAGACGTGCGTGATCTTAATTATCGTGATGTTTGTCAGGGGTTATTAAGTTGACCAGAATTACACGCACTGTACATTGTATTTTTGAAGTGAAATGGTGCTTGTGTTAAAGTGTACAAGCTGGTCATTAATTACTTTTAAAATCCTTCCACATTGTCACTTTTCTTTTACAGTACCTTCTTCAATTACCCAAATAACACAAGATCAGAATGTAACCGAAGGTGACAATTTAACTTTGACATGTAATGCATCTGGAATGCCTCAACCAAACGTGTCTTGGATTAAGCCTGGTGGTCAGCGTCAGTATGGACACATGTTGGAGTTTACAAACATTAACAGGAGTCAAGCGGGTGAATACAAATGTGAAGCCAGTAACGAGTGTCTTAATGCAACAGAGACGGCAACTATTGATGTGCAGTGTAAGTACATGTGAAAGTTATTCATTGTTACATCTTGTTCCTTTTTTGCTCTCTGTCACAGTTTGCCAATTTGCTTTTTAATCATTTCTTGATGGAGAGACTTGTTTATTCGTAGCTTCAGCATCAGCTAAGGAAAGAGGACGACTCCTTGGCTACTTCATTATACGTAACTTGCAAAGGCCAATGAAATTGTAATATAAATTGTCTCTTTTGTCCTTAGACAAACCAGAGAATGTCCAGTTAATGAGTTCTGCTATGAATGACAAAGCATGTACGGGAAAAGTCATCAGTTTTAATTGCTCAGCTGATGCTAATCCAAGAGTGACGTCATACCAGTTGTTTGAGAACGAAAAGGCCATTTTAAACACAAGTGCCTCGGGGACGTGGAGTAAGACTTTGAAGATTGAAGGAGTGTTTGTCTACAAATGTGTGGCTAACAACTCTCTAGGATCAGAATACAGCATAAATGTTCCTGTCACTGTCAATGGTAAGCAAATTAGTCGCTAACGCTTTTTAGGAGTCTACCATTAAGCAACATAATTTTTGTAGACGTGCGTGATCTTAATTATCGTGATGTTTGTCAGGGGTTATTAAGTTGACGAGAATTACACGCACTGTACATTGTATTTTTGAAGTGAAATGGTGCTTGTGTTAAAGTGTACAAGCTGGTCATTAATTACTTTTAAAATCCTTCCACATTGTCACTTTTCTTTTACAGTACCTTCTTCAATTACCCAAATAACACAAGACCAGAATGTAACCGAAGGTGACAATTTAACTTTGACATGTAATGCATCTGGAATGCCTCAACCAAACGTGTCTTGGATTAAGCCTGGTGGTCAGCGTCAGTATGGACACATGTTGGAGTTTACAAACATTAACAGGAGTCAAGCGGGTGAATACAAATGTGAAGCCAGTAACGAGTGTCTTAATGCAACAGAGACGGCAACTATTGATGTGCAGTGTAAGTACATGTGAAAGTCATCCATGGTTACATCTTGTTTCTTGTTTCTCTCTGTCACAGTATATCAATTTGCTTCTCCATCACTGTATTGATGGAGAGACTTGTTTATTCGTAGCTTCAGCATCAGCCAAGGAAAAAGGACGACTCCTTGGCCACTTCATTATATGTAACTTGCAAAGGCCAATGAAATTGTAATATAAATTGTTTCTTTTGTCCTTAGACAAACCAGAGAATGTCCAGTTAATGAGTTCTGCCATGAATGACAAAGCATGTACGGGAAAAGTCATCAGTTTTACTTGCTCAGCTGATGCTAATCCAAGAGTGACGTCATACCAGTTGTTTGAGAACGAAAAGGCCATTTTAAACACAAGTGCCTCGGGGACGTGGAGTAAGACTTTGAAGATTGAAGGAGTGTTTGTCTACAAATGTGTGGCTAACAACTCTCTAGGATCAGAATACAGCATAAATGTTCCTGTCACTGTCAATAGTAAGCAAATTAGTCGCTAACGCTTTTTAGGAGTCTACCATTAAGCAACATAATTTTTGTAGACGTGCGTGATCTTAATTATCGTGATGTTTGTCAGGGGTTATTAAGTTGACCAGAATTACACGCACTGTACATTGTATTTTTGAAGTGAAATGGTGCTTGTGTTAAAGTGTACAAGCTGGTCATTAATTACTTTTAAAATCCTTCCACATTGTCACTTTTCTTTTACAGTACCTTCTTCAATTACCCAAATAACACAAGATCAGAATGTAACCGAAGGTGACAATTTAACTTTGACATGTAATGCATCTGGAATGCCTCAACCAAACGTGTCTTGGATTAAGCCTGGTGGTCAGCGTCAGTATGGACACATGTTGGAGTTTACAAACATTAACAGGAGTCAAGCTGGTGAATACAAATGTGAAGCCAGTAACGAGTGTCTTAATGCAACAGAGACGGCAACTATTGATGTGCAGTGTAAGTACATTGTAAAATTTATCCCTTTTTACATTTTGTTTCTCGTTTTTCTCTGTCACCGTTTAGCGATTTGCTTCTCTGTCAATTTTTGATGGAGAGACTTGTTTATTCGTAGCTTCAGCATCAGCTAAGAAAAGAGGACGAATCGTTGCCTATTTCGTATTACGTAACTTGCAAAGGTCAATGAAATTGTACCCATAAATTGTCTCTTTTGTCCCTAGACAAACCAGAGAATGTCCAGTTAATGAGTTCTGCCATGAATGACAAAGCATGTACGGGAAAAGTCATCAGTTTTACTTGCTCAGCTGATGCTAATCCAAGAGTGACGTCATACCAGTTGTTTGAGAACGAAAAGGCCATTTTAAACACAAGTGCCTCGGGGAAGTGGAGTAAGACTCTGGAGATTGAAGGAGTGTTTGTCTACAAATGTGTGGCCAACAACTCTCTAGGATCAGAATACAGCATAAATGTTACTGTCACTGTAAATGGTAAGCAAATTAGTCGGTATCGCTCTTTAGGAGTCTACCATTAAGCAACATAATTTTTGTATACGTGCGTGATCTTAATTATCTTAATGTTTGTCAGGGGTTTTTAAGTTGACAAGAATTACACGCACTGTACATTGCATTTTGGGAGTGAAATGGTGCTTGTGTTAAAGTGGACAAGCTGGTCATTAATTACTTTTAAAATCCTTCCACATTTTCACTTTTCTTTTACAGTACCTTCTTCAATTACCCAAATAACACATGATCAGAATGTAACCGAAGGTGACAATTTAACTTTGACATGTAATGCATCTGGAATGCCTCAACCAAACGTGTCTTGGATTAAGCCTGGTGGTCAGCGTCAGTATGGACACATGTTGGAGTTTACAAACATTAACAGGAGTCAAGCTGGTGAATACAAATGTGAAGCCAGTAACGAGTGTCTTAATGCAACAGAGACGGCAACTATTCAAGTGCAGTGTAAGTACATGTGAAAGTCATCCATGGTTACATCTTGTTTCTTGTTTCTCTCTGGCACAGTATATCAATTTGCTTCTCCATCACTGAATTGATGGAGAGACTTGTTTATTCGTAGCTTCAGCATCAGCCAAGGAAAGAGGACGACTCCTTGGCTACTTCATTATACGTAACTTGCAAAGGCCAATGAAATTGTAATATAAATTGTCTCTTTTGTCCTTAGACAAACCAGAGAATGTCCAGTTAATGAGTTCTGCCATGAATGACAAAGCATGTACGGGAAAAGTCATCAGTTTTACTTGCTCAGCTGATGCTAATCCAAGAGTGACGTCATACCAGTTGTTTGAGAACGAAAAGGCCATTTTAAACACAAGTGCCTCGGGGAAGTGGAGTAAGACTCTGGAGATTGAAGGAGTGTTTGTCTACAAATGTGTGGCCAACAACTCTCTAGGATCAGAATACAGTATAAATGTTCCTGTCACTGTAAATGGTAAACAAATTAGTCGCTAACGCTTTTTAGGAGTCTACCATTAAGCAACATAATTTTTGTATACGTGCGTGATCTTAATTATCGTGATGTTTGTCAGGGGTTATTAAGTTGACGAGAATTACACGCACTGTACATTGTATTTTTGAAGTGAAATGGTGCTTGTGTTAAAGTGTACAAGCTGGTCATTAATTACTTTTAAAATCCTTCCACATTGTCACTTTTCTTTTACAGTACCTTCTTCAATTATCCAAATAACACAAGACCAGAATGTAACCGAAGGTGACAATTTAACTTTGACATGTAATGCATCTGGAATGCCTCAACCAAACGTGTCTTGGATTAAGCCTGGTGGTCAGCGTCAGTATGGACACATGTTGGAGTTTACAAACATTAACAGGAGTCAAGCTGGTGAATACAAATGTGAAGCCAGTAACGAGTGTCTTAATGCAACAGAGACGGCAACTATTGATGTGCAGTGTAAGTACATGTGAAAGTTATTCATTGTTACATCTTGTTTCTTTTTTGCTCTCTGTCACAGTTTGCCAATTTGCTTTTTAATCATTTATTGATGGAGAGACTTGTTTATTCGTAGCTTCAGCATCAGCCAAGGAAAGAGGACTACTCCTTGGCTACTTCATTATACGTAACTTGCAAAGGCCAATGAAATTGTAATATAAATTGTCTCTTTTGTCCTTAGACAAACCAGAGAATGTCCAGTTAATGAGTTCTGCCATGAATGACAAAGCATGTACGGGAAAAGTCATCAGTTTTACTTGCTCAGCTGATGCTAATCCAAGAGTGACGTCATACCAGTTGTTTGAGAACGAAAAGGCCATTTTAAACACAAGTGCCTCGGGGACGTGGATTAAAACTTTGGAAAGTGAAGGAGTGTTCGTCTACAAATGTGTGGCTAACAACTCTCTAGGATCAGAATACAGCATGAATGTTCCTTTAACTGTAAATGGTAAGCAAATTAGTCGCTAACGCTTTTTAGGAGTCTACCATTAAGCAACATAATTTTTGTAGACGTGCGTGATCTTAATTATCTTAATGTTTGTCAGGGGTTATTAAGTTGACAAGAATTACATGCACTGTACATTGCATTTTAGGAGTGAAATGGTGCTTGTGTTAAAGTGGACAAGCTGGTCATTAATTACTTCTAAAATCCTTCCACATTGTCACTTTTCTTTTACAGTACCTTCTTCAATTACCCAAAGAACACATGATCAGAATGTAACTGAAGGTGACAATTTAACTTTGACATGTAATGCATCTGGAATGCCTCAACCAAATGTGTCTTGGATTAAGCCTGGTGGTCAGCGTCAGTATGGACACATGTTGGAGTTTACAAACATTAACAGGAGTCAAGCTGGTGAATACAAATGTGAAGCCAGTAATGAGTGTGGCAATGGAACAGAGACGGCAACCATTCATGTGCTGTGTGAGTTTGTGGATGGTTTATTGCTTTTACTGTCGTTATTTTGAACTTGAGATCTTAATCGGCGAACTTTAACATTACCGCTTCGGAAATCTGACAGCATTCTATCTGAATTTGTATCGGAAATAAAACCCTTTAATATCTTATGACTTTTTGATGATTTGTTCCTTTTAAAGATACACCAAGAATAACAAACATTTCTGGTGAGCAGATCGTGAATAACGGTGACGTGGTGAGTTTGTTTTGTATGGCGGAAGGTAATCCAGCAACAAAGATAACTTGGACAAAAGTTGCTGATAATAGTCAAGTGAACTTTCCTTTGACCATCCGTGGTAGTCAGGATGAAGGAATGTACAGATGTACAGCCGAGAATGGTGTTGGAAGCCCTGTAACTAAGTTTGTCAACATGACAGTACATTGTAAGTGGTGTAGTTATGGCAGTTATGATTGTCTTTTGTTTGATCTCAAGCTTTTACATAATATTGGCCCACAATAGGTATTGGTTCAGACTGATACCTTAGTTTTGACATAAAGAAATTTTCAATTGAGTGTCGATTTTGGTTTTACGTAACTCAGCTCACTGATTGGTCCAGCAAACTCGCGCCATTCTCTCAACCAATCAGATGCAAAGCTAAAATCAACCGCGACTTTGTCTTTGTTTTCCCGCGCCTCAAGAAGTCTGCTTGTTTTCAATTCGTGATCTCATTGGCTAATGATAATGTTAATCGTATTGGTCGTTGTGATTATATTTGTTTTGGTTTTTCGACACACGATTTAAAATTGCTCCTGAGTAACAAAATCACCAAATCCTTTTTAGCTTCTTTTGAGACTCGTTTAGCTTCCTTTTGTTATAATTTAACAAACTTTTGTTGTTAAATCATATACATGCATGTCTTTTGGTAGTGTTCTGGGCCCAGTTGTATAAAGGTCAGATAACGAAATTCAACGGATAAATCGCTATCCAGCGGATAAGTAATAGCAAAACGTGTCACACTATCCACCGGACAGAGATTTATCCAGTGGATAGCGTTGTCTAACCTTCGAACAACCAGTGCCCGGTAAGTGTCACAGATACATGCATGTGTTGGTACGTTTGTGTTGAGAAATTGTGGACAACAGTCAAGTCACCACTTATCCAGAGTACAATTAAAAATCCAAAGGAAATTCAACGGGTAAACTCTAACTTGTACAGTGCAGGTACAGGTATAAACTAATTCAAAGAGGGTTTAGGTATATGATTCTATGCTAAACTGCCTTTCTTAACCAGAGGACTACTAACTTTGAATCTTTGTAATGTGCCCCATAGTTCCAGCTGCAATTGTGGCCATGGATAATCACACTGTCGTTAAGAATGGAACTATTGAACTTTATTGTAATGTGTCTGGAACGCCACCTCCTACTGTCTTATGGACTCATGTAAAATCAGGCGAAACGTGGAACCAGAAAAAATGGACTATTAGCGATATCCAAGTGGAGGAACTTGGAGAATATAGGTGTAATGCCAGCAACAAATATGGAGGAGATATCAAAAGTACCTTTATCTTATATGAAGGTGGGTAAGTCAAGTTGATATGGGAGATGCTTCGCTTACAGAATGTAAAGAAGTTGTTTGCTGGTATCGCTGGGTTACTAGTAAATACATATTTGCAATGAAATTACTTGGAACCTGATTGGCCCAAATCAGGCATGGGGATTGCCGGTCTCTGAGTCCAACATATTTTTTCGATGATCACAGCTGTAATAACTCAAAAATATTTTATCTATAATGCAGACATTCTGGAGAAATTTACAGGTTCTTCCAAAACTCTGTCAAAATTTTAAAATCAAATTACAACTCTAAACTGCTCCTTAAACTTAAAATAGTTTATTTTTTATCAATTTAGAGTTTTGTTTTGTTTTGTTTTGATTTTTTCTTCTTGAATAAATTTAGCATCTGTACCTCCCCTATGATTTTTACTGTCTCCAACGAACTTAAGCATATTTAGAACATGGAAATTTAATTTTTTCGTGATTTTCAACTCTCATTCTTTACAGGTGGTTTTTGTGAAAAACAATGTACTGATGGGAAATTGTGTCTTAAGTTTGGAGCCACATACTTTTGTATCTGTCCTGAAGGGAAAAGAGGAGAAAAGTGTGAGAAAACAGGTTGGAACAACTTTTAAATTTGTTGCAGAGAAAAAGCCACTCCCGTTGCGTTTGATTCATTTTGCCATCTTCCCAACCTTAAATTAAGTGCTTGTACAGTTTAACTATACTCTTCTTCTACCGATATCTTAGTTTTACATGCGGTTGTGCCTATGTATTTAATGATACCTCGCATGAAGATCATCGTTTTAGAAACTTGTGAATACCTGATATATATGCTACATTTACGTAGACAGATAGACTGATTATTCAGACTTGATGCTGGTCTCTAATGAATCAGTCTTTAATACTCCAAAGCACAGACTTAAACTTAGCTCAACGCATACTTTGAAAATTGATGTTGGTCCCTATTGAATCGGCCTTTAACCTTCCAGAGGATAGACTTACATTTAGCCATACGCATATTCATTTAAATTTTGTGCATTTGTTGTTTTTTTTTTTGCGACCACATGCCCAGTGGAAACCAAATTGCCTCTCTTCTTGCTTTTAGCTAAGTAGTGGTATTTCGGCAACGTGGATAAGTTCGTTCGATTTGTCTGCTGTGCAAAGCTTTAAGATAAACTGAAGGTCTTCGAGATTTTATCCCCTTTTCAGGCGTTATTTTTCGTTTCGCTTCTTGTAATGTTCATGCTTCTCTTGCTCCCAACAGATACACCTAAGAAAGACTTTGATGTCGGACTCAAACTCAAGGGAGAGTTCAAACAAGAGTATGAGAACTTGGAAAATCCAGAGACAAAAATGCTTGTCAAAAAGATTGAAAAAAATGTGAGTGCTTTGGTAAAAATAATTATGATTAACTTGAAGTTAGTATTGTAATATTTTAAGGAAAGAAAGAATTATTTTGGAACACAGCCCATTGCATATCATGATTTAAAATAGTTTAGTAAGGTGTACGTATGCACCAGGCGACTGCAAGGCCCCATCCGATTTCTACACGGACACCTTCTCACTCAGAATTAGGCGAAGTGTGGTGCTTTTCATTTATAAATTAATTTTTCTTGTATTGGGATAAAAATATATTTTGTATTAAGGGCTTCGCTCTTAATGTCGTTTTAAAACATCAGATTGGGGCATAAATTTCTCCTTGTCAGTACATAGAAAGTAGAGAACATAGAAATGGAATTTTTTTTTCCAGATGATGGAAGAATTCAAAGGCACTGGTCTCACTAGCGTTAAGGTGCTCAATCTGAGGTAATACGTTTTCAAACTTGTGTACGTTAAATCAGAAACTTCCAGGTTAATTTTGTTCATCGTGTAGTCTTTGCGGTACTGATGCACAAGAAGCGCTGAGGGCGCAAACCAATCATTATTTTTGCGTCATAAGATTATAAACTGACCGAACTATAATCTCTTTCTTAACTTACATGTCGTACAGGGGAGTACGTGTGATGCTGGATTATTTATAGATCACTTAGAACGTCCTTCTAAAAGCTGCACTATAATTTGCGAGTAATATGTCGCAACTCAATGTATCGAACAGGGTTTATTAAGAATTACAGTGAGCCATATGTGTACTTAAGACGCCCAAGATAATGAGCTGTTCTGGAGAACAAACCTTTTGATAATATTTTGATAATAATCTACAGTTTGTGAGCCAGATCCTCCTGGTGATTTTTGTTGTTTTAAGATTAAAATAAATTTAAAATTCACGAAGAATTTTTTTGAAGACAAGATTATGACATGGCTCATGCCATCATCAGTTTATTGTGTTGTATCATTTAACTTATATTTTAGACGTTACATAAACAGTATGCCATCCGTTTTAATCGGTAGTTCAATTGGTACCGTTACAATAGTTTAAGTAAACACTCGTGCGCGCAAATGTAACACTTGGAACGTTAACTTATTTTTTTCTATTTTTTTGGAAGTGAAGAGAAGTTATTTTGCATCTGAGTATTCAGCTCAGGTTTCAAGCGGCTCATGTGCAATGCCTCCTTAATTTTATGCAATGAGTTGTTTTGGCTGAGTCTAGAATGTTAAATCACTCAGCTGAACATTTTTGACCTAGAACTAGGAAGAGCACTCAACTGCTTGTGAACACGTTTTACGATTAAAATGAAATATCAAAATTTGAGTATTGAAAGGATGGAAGGCAAGATTGGAAGGAGGAGAGCTAGAATGTTTATCGAGGAAGTCCAGGTTTAAATTGCAGCGCCTAAACACATTACTATTTATTTGCCTTTTTATCTAAAAGCGTTTGACTTCTTGCTTACCTCTCAGGCAAGGAAGTATCATTGCTGACTTGAAACTAACATTTAACGATTCTGTCGGAGAAAGTAGTGTAAATGCATTGCTGACACAGGCAGCGAATAGGGGAAAAATTGGTGATATGGAAGTTGAAGAGATAAGCGTTGGAAAAACTTTCCCAGGTTAGTTCTTTTGTCTTCGTCAATCGCTGCTGTTTTGGAGATCACGGCACTTTGCTTAGTTATTCTCTATTATCTGACAAAGCCAGATTTTTGGAGACACAGTTGATGACTTTGTACTCTGAAAGCTAACTTTTTGAGGTGTTTTGAACTAACTCAGAGTTTATCATTTCCTCTCGCCGGCTTAACTGCATTTGGAATTACTACCTTAAAGACCCGTAATGATGAGTGAAAATGTGCCTGGGTGGCTAAGCATTTAAAACTGATTGAAATGAGGCTTTTTTTTGTATGTTTGTATGTATGTTTCAGAGCCAACTACAACTTCAGTACCACCCGAGGACTGTGGAACCTTCTTTGAGGGAGAAGATTGTAAAAAAGGTAGGGATTAATTTTTTTTCCAAAATCAACCTATTGTGTGAGAATATTATGTTAGTGATAGTGTTTAGTAGATTTTAGTGAAAGGGGAGATGGCCATGATCTCGGAGCGGAATCACGAAAGACAAGATTGGCATGTAAATTGTCAACTATTATTTTAATGATATAGCGTACTGATTGACCAATCAGAGGGCGCGTATTTCTTTAATCACGTTGGTGATTTCACTCAAAAAGACATTCTCACCGATTGTATAACAAGTTCAAATGATTGCAAGCTTATAACGTTTTCCAAACTTTTTTATGTTTTCCAAAATAGTACATTTTTGGATAAATCAACGGTTTTTCTCTGCATGTTTTGCTAATCTCTTGAAAAATCAATAGTCAAATTTTGCGAATAAAAAATTAAAATGAATTCAAAGTTTATGTTTTCCTCTGCAAGATTTAGTATTTCCGTAACAAAGTTTGTGTTAATGGTCAACTATGAAAATATGTATAAGGTACTTCGTTTAAAATTGTTCAAAAGACTGAAATTGTGTCGCAGAAATTCTGCGACCCCTCGTGCACTGGATGTCGCAGAAATTCTGCAACCACTCATGCAGTGGGTGTAGCAGAAATTCTGCTACTACTCATACACTGGGTGTGGCAGAAATTCTGCAACTACTCGTACACTGGGTGTCGCAGAAATTCTGCGACACAATTTCAGTCCTTTGAACAATTTTAAAAGATTTGTATGTGTCATGAATAGAGCACAAATATATCATTTAAATCTTGCATTGACTTGCATTGAAATCACAAGGGAAATTAATTCTCAACTGTCTAATGAAAGCCTTAGACCCTTCACTATCCAGAGGAAAAATGCTAAATTGACAGAATCACAGATTTTAATTAATATCTCCACCAATGTTTACAATAGGGAATTATGCTACATGTGTATCTCAATTAAAAGGGCAAAAATAAGCTTTTAGAAAAAGTGATCCTCTTTCTCAGTTGGCTGCGACTGCTTCCAAAATAAGAAAAATCAAACCGTGCAATGTTGCCTAATAAGTCACAAAATTATGAAAGGGAAAGTATGCGGTAGACCCACTCTACAAAGCCATTTTGAGGGCGCCATCTGGTTTTTGCCGGGTTCTACACTGAAAACAACGACGGACTCTAAAATCTGGTCAACTCTTGTCGCTGTTCTCAACCATTTCTCGAAAATAATCGGTGTCGAATCTTTGAAAGATATTCCTTTGCTGGACCCTTTGGAGTATCACCTCCTGAGAGGAAACTTAAGGTATGAACAAACTGGTGCATCTTTAAGGGTTTATACATGACTCGTGATTAAGACCAAAATTAAATACGACGCGTGAATTTTATTGAAAGGTTAACGTTATTCGTGAATTTATGAAACTGTGTAAGGCGAGATTTGATATCCTGAAGTATACTTGAACCCTGAAGTTTTTGTTTTGATGTTGTTGTTGTTGTTTTTTTTCCCATTACGTGAAAACCTCAAGATTTCGATAAACCTTGCACACAAGATGAGAAATTAGAAAATTTCCCTTTTATATCCGTGACGCGTGAACTGATTTTTCGAAAATTCGCCAGCAATACCTTAACGGTCCTCTTTCAGCTCGAATTATTTCCAAAGAATTCCAGGGGTGCGTTCCAATTTGTTTCAGTAAACTCATGGCCAATGCTATTTTGGAAAACACAAAATAGTTTGGAAAGCGTTTGATATGATACACACTCTGTTTTCTGTACCTTGCGCTCACTGCGATGACATCATGATAAAATTAGTGATCAGGTACCCTGGATGGTGTAGTGATGAGAGAGCTTGCCTGTGGCCTGGGTTTGATTCTCGGAAAGTCTTGGTAGTTCCCATTCGACAAACAGGTTTTATTGTGTTTGCTGTGTTCACATTCAACATCGAGGTATATAAAAAGTGTAATTCGAACAGCTAAAATTTCGGGAAATTTTTCCGCTAGTAGCCTCATTATTAATCCATAAGTTTTGATTTTAATCAAAGTTTCGAGCCCGTTTTGTTAACGTGACTATCGAGAAACCGGAACCAAGTTTCATTTTTTTGTTAAAAGTTTCGTTCGCTCTAATTCTGGCGAGGATACTTCTCCTCGTTCTCCTTCCTCCAATCCCCACGTCAAACTCCAATATGGGATATGAGATATGAGCATGGGAAGGGCTCCCATGCTCATATCCACTCGGAACTTGATGGAATTTGATAATCATTTTATCAATTTTCTTGTAAGATTTATTGGAGTTTATTACGTCCATTTTGAAATCACTGGTGGTCCTGGTCGGCGCGATTTATTTACGCATCGCACTATTGTTTGCTCTAAATCGCATCTTTTCCTAGTCAATGAGAAAGCTTTCCTAAAACGCAACAACCAATCAGATTTCATGGCTTGTTTAAAGTAACCAATCAAATGGCAACAAAATAAGAAAGGCAACAATGAATCATCTACAAACCAATCATTAAAAGTAACCAATTAAATCGCAACAAAATGAAAGGCAACATTGAATCATTTACAAACCAGCTCAGTACTGCGTCAGTTGAATATTGGTTACATTTTGCGCTTCATAAACGGATGTAATAGAGCTGCAATTGAACTCCGTGTTGTGCAATCTTAGTTGTGATTTCAAATGACGGGTATGATTTCAGACCAAATTGCACTCCATTCACTTCAATTACAATTATAAACTGTGCTAGGCCATATAACTCCATGCTATTTATTCGTGATCTTTTCCAGCGAAGCCTGGTTTGATTGTACTCTGTGTGATTGGAGGTGTGGCAGTTTTGGCAATCATCGTAGCAATAATAGCTTACGGTTTGCACAAGAAAAAATCAAACGTTGCATCCTTTTCAAATGGTAAGCTTATCAGAATTCTTTTTTTTTTTTTTCTAGCGGTGATTTTTTTATTTATTTACTTTTTACTTTTATCATCATTTCTGATGATGGTGTTTCTCTCTCTCTCTCTCTCTTTTTTTTTTTTGAGGGGGGGAGAGGGTAGAGGAAAAGTTATACTTTTTTATTCCCTGGAGAAATAATTCGGTACCGGCAATCTGTTTGAGATTTGGAACAAAATGCCAGAAATCGGACAAACGTGAGTGTTCCTAAGGGGAAATTAGTTCTAATAATCTAACTGGGATAGAAACAGCTGGTAAAAATGGGTAACAAATTGTTTTCTTTTCCGATTCGTTTGGGTTGTTCCACGATGCCGAAACTGTAATAATGGATGCCACAGAATTTTGAAAAATAATAATTAAAAAAAAAAATGAAGGGAGAAAAAAAAAAGAAACAGATCAATTCTGTTCTGGAAGTAGAAATGACCGTTTTTGTTTTTGTTTTTGACTCGTAGGTAACTATACACCAAGGGTCGCTCCACACGGGTGAGACATTTGTGTTGGAAAATGATTTATAATGTATAGTTGCCGCAATTTTTGTTAAATACGCAGTAATGGTAAAAACTGAAATCGTTGTGCTCTTTTGTTATGTAAGCCTGCTAAAGCAAAGCAAGCGCTCTTTTAGGCCGTTAGCAAGATCACAGGCTGCGATATATTTTAGGAGGCGTTTGATCAAAGGTTCCTCTTCATATACGTACATACAAACAAACAAGTCAACACCCCCCCTTCCCCCCTCAAAAAAAAAAAAAAAGAAAAAAGAAAAAGAAGATTGAGCGACGAGTTTAACGTAACAATCGTTTTAACGTAAGACTGAAGACCACCTTGGGTTAATTATCTCTATTTTTGGTCTTGTTTTTCTACCAACTTTCCCGTTCTTGACATTTTGGATTGAACTAAAAGGTTAGGGAATTAGGGACTTTATTGTTGTGAGAAAGGAATGCTACAATTAAAAGAACAACGTAAACTTACAGGTACATGGTAACTTGTGATAGGGACAGTCACCTTCGATATGGCTCCGGCCTTGGCTTTCTGTGAGATTCTTTGTCTATTTCGTAGCTTTTCTTGATATGAATTGTGAAAGTCAAATACATATGAATCTTCTATATAGTCAATTTCCATAAATCTTCTATCCTAAGTCAGTAACATACGTGGACTTTTGACGACGAAAAATTAATTTCACTAGTTTATATATATATATATCAACTTGCCTCTTTTTGGTATGATAGCACTGCTGGTTCAGCGGAGAGGACTCCTCAAGGGAACAATTATGGAAATGTGAATTCAGGATACGAGTATGACAAAACGAATGGCCAGAACCACTCCACTGAAATGGTAACATTCAAGGGGACAAATCCAGCGCAGACTCCTGGGATTGCAATCAACGACTCCAGTATGACAAAGGTAAGGCAAGCTCAAAGTCATGTAGGTTCTACTTTTGTTGCCCTATGTACAGCACTAGTTACTTCAATCTCATATTCGTGAAAAAGTTAATCATAGTGGATCCTTTTTTGGTTTATTTCAGTTTTTTTTTGTGACTGTGTGTGTTCTCCCACCTTGAACAACAATTATTTCAAGACTCATATTTAAAATGCCGTAACTTTGCGGTGACCTACTTATTCCCACGTCTGGTACACTACTCAGGGATGTCATAAAGCCTCTACTGCACGCTTTTCACTCCGAAACTCATGTTTCATTCGTATTCAACTAAAATCATAATTTGCAGTTCATTTTGCAACAAACGCATAAATTGAGCCATGAAATGATAACGCATTAACTTACTTCTAGCGCTAGTCTAGTGTCAAAACAAGCCTGGAAAAGTTGTCGTGTCCGGAAAATTTAAGCAATCAATAATCAATGAATCAATCAACGTTGTGCAACCGCATATTACAATTCTCGTGAATGCTTTTTAATGTTAACTAAACTTCAAGCTGACTTTGAAAACTTAAAATGGCTAATGATAGTAGCCATCTTTAGATAATAAGATATGCCCAAGACTAACGCTTGTGTGGTCAGGATCGCCTATTCCCAATCAAGTAAGAAACTTTTTACTGAATTGAACCCAGTCTTCGCATCCAAGCAATAATCAGCTGGATACCAAGGCACAATAATGGCTTATTGGAATTAAGAGGATGACAATCACCGAAGCAGTCCAAAATGTGTGACTCAAAGCCACTTGTCATTATTTACTTGAGGTTGTGGCTGAATTTATACCCTTACTGGTACAACAAACCACTTTATTCGATAATTCACTTGTGATATTTTTTGTTTTGTTTTGTTTTTTGTTTGCTTGTTTGTTTGTGTGTTGTTGTTGTTTTTTTTTGGCATTAATTACTAAGTTGCAAGAGTGTTGTGAATCAGATAATTAACGTACTGTAGTCCTGATATACCTTAGCTATAATGACCCATTCGCTCAGCGTTCTTCTTAAAAGAACAGACAACGCTTGGCAACCGATAGCAGCAATAACTCAGGGTGGCTTTGTTTGTTCTATTTTGTTCTACCATGTTACAATGGGAAACAGATTACATAACAATGAGGAGTAAACCACGAACAATTGTCAAATAGTCTTTATTCTTTAGAGTGCAGCTATTGTAATTCTTGTCTTTTATGAGGTTTTGAGTGGCTTATCTTTTCAAAATTGAAGAAATATTTTTTCTTTCATAAGCAACTGTTGTTGGGCGTTGTTATTTCTTCTTACACATTGTATTTTCCTTGCAGTGAGCAAGAAAGACGAAGCCAGTTCTGGCTTGGCGGATAAGCAGTTAACTCTTAATAAACCGATCTTTAGAGTAATATTCGTACACCTAAGAAACAATTTTTAGAATTTAAACATGTTCCTAAGTGGTTTAGCACGTTTGCATAATTTTTACTTTTTGCAGAAATGAAATGCATTTTATAACTTAAGTTAAGTCATCAGTAACGTTATTTCGAAGCAATGATATAGATAAATGTTGGATAAGAAGGAACATTGTTTGTTAAAAGTGAGAAGTACTTTCCTTGAGTAGGAATAACTTAAAACTAATGATTAGAAATAAAAGGAAAAGAAAAAAAGGACGTGTTTGTCGAAGTAGCGAGATAGAGTCGGGTCCTAGATGGACAAACTGAACAATTTGACTATAAACCGCAACTAAATCTACCGAGGTAGTATCCATATACGAGGCATCGTCTGAGAAACCTTTCTTGAGCATACTGAGATATTTTCGTAGCCTGTGAGTAAGTATTTTTCTAGGTTTAGAATCTAAGGGCTTCTGTCGTAGTTTCGTTTCGCTCCTTATGTTCTTTTTTTTTCAAGTAAACATCAAATTACATCTTTTTGCCAAATTTTAGCACACGAAAATAATTCAAGATTAGTGTTTGTAGAGTAACCACTCAACTGTGCGGTCTGTGGTGAAGTTTGAGTTTTAACGAGCAAGCTACTGTATGTTGCATTCCACTTCATTCATAACTCTAGTTCTCGCAAATCATTGTCTTTTTCATGTCTTAAACTTGATGTTTTATCTAGCGATATAAGTGTTTTAAATCTTGTGGGTCGATTAAAATCTTACATGGTTAATTTTCATTGGCAGTCCAGGCCACTAAAATTGTGGTCGTAAAAATTTTGAGATAAAAGTAGCTTGAACTGATGGTATAATGTTAAAGGAATAATGCCACAACAAGATAAGGTCTAGTTTTAACGATAGCAATACAGAAATAGCTTATTGCATTTTAATAGGATATTTATAGCATTCATTTAATGAATGTCGTAGGTATTATTTATTCAACTAGTCGCTAGGTGGTAATCATAATTTAGAAGGGAACACGACATAATTTTTTTTCATGTACGTAACAGTTAGATTATGAAAGCTCTCCATTTCTAAAGCGTGATAGTTGATGAAGGAGAGGTCCAAATCCATTATCGTGCATTGTAAACGATATTGTTTTGGTATCAATGTAGCAGTGGTTCAAACCTTGAGAACAAGTCAAGCTTATGTTTTCATTGTAATTTGTTTGCATTCGCGCACCAAAAGGCTTCGAACTGTACAGCACAGCACAGCATAGAGACAATGCATACTGATGTTCGAGTATAAACGGTAACGTGTGAGGGGTTTTGAAAATATGTTCAACTTTTAAGGTGACATTTTGATAAAATGGAGTCTTTCATCGATCTTTTAGTTGCCTTTTTCAGATTTCAAAGGTTCCATATCTTGAGATTGTTTTTTCTACCCTTCATTTAAAAAATGGTACACACAGTTACCAAAAGCGATACTGCTACCATCTTTGGGGAACTGTTGAAAGGAATTTTTTGAACGTAAATCTGTGGAGAAAGAGCCGTGTTAACTATTTAATTCCCAGAGTGGCTAGTATCCAATTTCCACTCACGATATCACCGTTGAATCACAAGGAGGCTGTGTGGTTAGGGCGCTGGTCTTGTGATCTGGTGGTTTCGGGCTCTAGCCCCCTGGCCCTCCATCCTGCCACTCACTGGATTTGTTCTCGGTTGCCCCAAGTTCAATTCCTTGGCTGCACTTTGTACACATGTACAGCCAACTGGCCTGCCTCCTTCCCGTTGGGGTTTTTTTAAATCAGCACGGTTCGCTTGCTTCCAATTTGTCCATATTGGCCCTTAAAAGAGGTCAATTAAGTATACTTACATACAAACGATCAGGGTCTCGAGAAGAAACAGAATGAGAGCCATTCAAAACGTTACGATTGTTTTAAAAAAAAAAAATATTTTTGTTAGTCACATAGGGAATGTGTAGGGAACAGTATAGAACATATACAGGTATGCAGGTTGACGTCAGGATGTTTAGGGTAACTGGATTTGACAGATCAAATAATTTCTACAATAGTATGTTCAACCATAGAGCTTTTTAAATCAGTGCGAATGTTAGTCGTGGTGAGGCCGCAAAGTGGAAAAGGAGGGGAGGGCAAAAAGTTATAACATGTAATTTGCACTAAAAAGAAATTAGCCTCCCTCCACTGGAATCTTGTTAACATTCCTGCAAATACTGTTGAATATTGTTGATACAATGTGGAGGCGCGGTGGCCTTATGGTTAGTGCGCCCGACTCCGGATCGGGTGGTCCAGGTTCGAGCCCTGTCCTGGGTCATTGTGTTGTGTTCTTGGGCAAGACGCTTTACTCTCACAGTGCTTCTCTTTACCCAAGTGTACAAATGGGTACCAGCAAATGTGCTGAGGGTAACGCTGCGATGGACTAGCATCCCATCCAGGGGGGAGTAGCAATACTCCTAGCCGCTTCATGCTAAGAAAACCGGAGTTAAGCACCGGCCCCATGGGCCACTTGGGCCTGCATAAAGGCTTTTACTTTTTTACATTGTTGATACAAAAGGGGCTTTTTTTATCCCTGTCCGGTGCTTTTGATCCAAGGCCAAAGCTTTTACCAAAAACTACACGGCCAACTCTCTGCTAATGGCCAGCTCTCTGCAGCCATCTCATTATGTCAAGCCCTTTTGTAGATTTTATGTGTATTCTCGGTAGATTTTCTTTGGTATGATTCTGTTTCTCTAATATTTTTTTCTTCGCAAAGATTGAAACGATTTGTGCACTACTTAAATTAGTCTTTGTCAGACTTTCTTAAATGGAGATATACGAAAACGAAGGCGGGCGAAAAATGGTGGGAATGGGGCCGTTTCCCAAGATGACCATCTAGCATTAATTACGTTGTTTGCCCGCCACCGACGAAGGGTTTAGAGGAGATTATAACCTTGCGACAGTTGTCTGGCAGTAAAGCTGACGTGTTGCAACATGCGATACCTTGCGCGAAATTGAGGGTGATCCTTTGGTATCGTCTACTGTTCAGGTCGCCTTGACAAAGTTGGATTGATTCAATGCCTTTTGCTGATTCTTCACCACCAGTCTTCCAGTAGGTACAAGTCTCTTGATACATTGTTTACGACTTTACATAATAATGTATCTGTGTTTATGCTGTAACGTCCTTTGTGTGAAAATCTTTGAGGCGCGGTTGTCGTAAAGGAGGTTGAGATTTCTTTCCCTTGGCCTAGATCCTTTGTCCATATCGATAACTTTAAATAGATAAAACAAAAACCTAGTTCATTACTTCATATCAGTCCTCGTCAGAACTACATGCCTTCTTCTTTCGGTTAAATTACCTAACGTGTCTCAACACTTTTTTTCTATCAAGATAATCTGTTTTAACGGGATATGGAAACGTATGTAAAGCGTAACTAGGAGAAGAAAAAGCCAATTACACTTTGTTGGATGGTTCAGAAGGACAACTAAAAGTTGTCTAAATACTACTACCTTTTCCATCAATGATGGCACCGGCTGGAATGATATAGGAGTTATATGCCATCCTGGCGATAACATTGTGATATGTGATAGAAATATTTAAAAGACGCTATTTAATATCAGTAGAAGTGATGAGGCCACCCTGATAGTTTAAAAAGTGACTGAAGATGAACAAACGATTTTCCAGTGCTAGCAGTCTCCACGCTAAGAAACTCTTGGACCCAGCACCTTTGACAGGCTACGCGCGCCTACTCGCTTGACGCTAACGGTTGCCTGGCAGCTAAGCTGTTGTGAAAGTAAAATGTGATACGTTGCACGCCATTGAAAGTGCTCTGTCGTCTTGTTTGCGTTTGTTGTAGAACATGGCCTCGGTTAACATAACTTCGGCTCTTAACAAAACTGGATTAACAAGGTTTGGTGGAATATTTCTCTGGCTGATTCTTCATCGACAGTTTGTCGGTAAGCTTAAGGCTTTCAATGCCTTGTTTATCACTTACATGGTTTTCGTATCTGTAAGTTTTTGTGATGTAGCTTTGATATCAGCGGGGATCATGCTCCAAACAAGGTCGTGAGCGTATGGCTGTTGAGACGGTGTAAAGCATATAATTCTCATCTTGTGTACTTGATTCATACATAAGATCGTAAATATTCGTAGATCACATGCATTTGCGATTCATAGTTTTCGACTTATCATGGGGAGATAGATTCTGTCGAAGCACTGAGGATGTCTTAATGCAAGGTCCAATGTATTTTGATAACAATTACATTCTTCAAAGCAGAAGAAAATTAGCTCACATTTAAGACGCTTTTTCCTTTAATCATATGATCGTTGAGTCATAAAGGCTGGCTGGCTTTGTATTTATGTTATCGGATTTCACCCGTGAAAGTCATGTTTTTGTTTAGTCAAAATATAACACTGACTCACAAGGAGATAATCTGTTTTATTTAACGGAATAAGGAAACCGACAAAACTTAAGCAAAGGGGCTAGGAGCCGTAGATTGATTTATTACTCTTAGTGATCAAGTTTACAAGTGCGTTTCAACTTGATCAATGATTCGAAATGACAACAATTTCGCCGAAACATTCCAGGTTCCTTTGTGCAAATTAGGATGCCATGTGTGGATGTAGACATAAATAAGGCGAAGATAGGCGTAGAACTGTTATTATGTTTAAATTTTACGACCAAAATATGACACAATCCGCTGTCTGGAAAGATTGAAGCTCGAAAAGGAAAAACCAATATACACATTGGGTTGTTGAGTCTTGCGTGACTGATGTTATGTTACGCGTGATTGTTTGTCATGCTTTTAGCTTGAACAGGAGTATGGTTTCTGTGATCTGTCAATTTCCCTTTCTTCTATTGGGCGAATTGTTATTGTGCGTAAGATGATATGTACTCTAAATCCATAGCATCGCTCGCGATTTTGAAAGATGAACTCCAATGTTTGCTAACGCTTTCACATTTGTTAATGTTTGTTTATACTGAGGTTCTGCTTAGAGTTAGTGTTAAATTGTTACCAAAAATAGAGGTAAGCTTTGTTGTCAACTGCAGCTTTTCCGTGCTCAGCACTGCAAATGCTAAATGAGCCTAACATGAGTTTTAGTTTTCTTTTACTATTTTTAACTTTTTTGATGTTACGCAGAAGAGAATTGACTACGTGACGTGCTTTCATTTAGCACTCGCTTAAGGGAGGCTTACAGGCAGAAATGGTTCATTGGCTTTTAAGAGATCGACAACAATGTGTTGATAACGGCTAAATATTATTGTTTGAGGTTTCCTGCGTAATTGGAGGTGTAAACTTAACAATTAATTCTTAGAATCATTGTGGTCAGAAATAAATAATTAAGTTCTCTGACGTCGACCACATTAATATCCGGAGTGTTTGTTTTGGCGCTGTGTCACAAATGTGAAATGCAAAAGCAAATGCCGCTAGCAATGTTTTAATGTGTCTGCCTTTATTGTTAAATTTGAAAAGATCCGAAGCTGTTCTTGATCAAACTGATAAGAGCTCCAGACAGGCACAAGGAACTGAATTACCCTTTGTACTAAAAACCAAAAGAGAACATAATCTGTTTCTACGAAAAGTTTTCCTTCTTTCGAATATTCAGAGCCTCAGTTCATTTTTCTATTGTTGTTATTTTATATTTTTTAACTCCTTGGACATCCCAAGGGCAAAAGACAAGAAAGGCTCTGGAATGCTCTTAATAACGCAAACATATTGCGAGGGCTTTTTTCTGCCAGAAAATGGATTTATTTTAATTCATAGATATATTAATTTTTGCAACGTCACCCTCTAGGTGTGCCTAATCAAGAAAAACCGGCTATTTTAATTTCCCATTTATGAAAGGCTCTTTGTCGTTATTAAAGTGTTCTAGATCTTACTTATTGTACCTCGATCGACACCTCTCGCAGTCTGAGATAATCGCACGCGATAAACGTCGAATAACTTGCCGTCGTGATTCTTGCCGTACCTCTTTAGTTAAATACAAGTTGAATACGATGTCTTCGCTTTCATTTGTAAAGCATAGTTTCAGTTATATCCAACTTGAAAGAAAAATGGAAGGAACAACATCCTCAACTTCTTATCACAAATCATTCTTCTCTCTACTAAAAATTCTAAAATTACTAAGCTATCGTTACAAACTAGAAAGCTGGTTTTTTCTTTTCCTTCTTCTCCTTTAAGGGCAAAATTGATCTTCTTGCTAATGAATGTTTTCCTACGTGTTTTATTCTTTAAGCCCTGACCGTCTTGAAACGTTCTTTCAGTGACGGCTTCATATTTTCCTTCACTCTGACGATAATTTTCACCTTCAGTCCTTATGAGATCTTGGGTATGAAAGGGATAATAATATGGTTACCCTCTAAGGAGGGTAACTGTTACTCTTCTCTGTATGATAAATTAAAAAGATTATGTCTTACTTCAAAATGTTGTAGCCACTACAGTACTGTGGACAAAACCAGCCCCAAGTTGGACCCAAACGGATTCAAATGACATCAGAACAGTTGATATTCAAGTGTTGAAGGGCAGCACCCACATACATCTCAGTTGGAATTACACTTTGTCAGAAGGTTCAGATCTGAAGACAACAACTTTTTCCATCAATGATGGCAGCAGCTGGAATGACATTGGAGTTATATACCATGCTGACAATGACATTGTGATATATAGCAAAAATAATTACAGGACGCGATTTAATATCAGCGATAGTAATGTAGCCACCCTGATATTAAAAAAAAAGTGACTGAGGATGAACGAGCAACTTTCCAATGCAAGCTCTCCACGCTAAGTAACTCTTGGACCTACAGTATTCTCGTGAATTTTACAAGTAAGTGTCAGTTTGGTGATATCCATCTTATTACATCCGACGCATTGTATAAAACTCCAGTCTTAAATCACTCTCGTTACTTTTTATTGTTTAATTTACCAACCAACCCCAACTGTGTCTCTTTGATAAAAATGTCTGGTTTTGGTATCCGTACTTCCCCTCTGTATTCAATCTGTCGCAAGATATACTACTACCATGACCAAACTTTCGAACCCAGTGTCGAGCTTTGGAAGGATTTGCTATTTTTGATCTTCAGTCAAGACCCTTTATAGTTACAGTAGCTGGTAGCCCCACCAAAATGTTATGGGGTCGAGGGCTACCCGGAGTGATCAGCAAGCTACAGTTATAGCACGCGTAGCTGTTCGCATGTCTGAGAAAGTTAACAGAAAAAGCGCCCAGTTTTTCTTAAAATGACCCCAAGTGCCCCAAAACTATGCAAAACAGCATAACCCAAAAACCAGCTTTAAAACATTCTTATAACCACGCCGGTAAGGCAATGGTCTTTGTATTATCTCCTTAGAGTCAAAGAGTCTCAATTGGGAGTGTATATCACATAAAAAGCAGAACCATGTGCAATTTCCGCTTTGAAAGTGCAATAGTCTGACGTATGGGAAGAGTGGTGGTTCAAATTAATTTAGAATTAACGATTTGGGTTATGTTTGGCCAGAGCAACATCTGAACTGGGTGGTGCGACCTATATCTGTTGTTGCTGTTGAACGTCACAACCTCACCCTTCAGTGGACCTATACGAAAACACTTCGCCTAGCGTCAATATTTCGAGAGGCAGTCTTTATTGATCTTAGCAGCGGAGAAAAAACACCTGTAGAGAAACTGCTAAAGACTGCACCATTGGTACACCCAGCTTACAGACCTCGATTTCATGTGGATTATATACAAGATACTAATGCGTCCGTAACCATTGTTGGACTGCAAAGATCAGACGGCGGAAGATATAGATTTGATGTTAAAACCCTCAGGGAGGACATCAACGAACTTAACACGCTCATGGAACTCACAATGCAGTGTAAGCGAACAAATAAAGGTTGTATTTGGTCTTGTAAAATGTAGCCTATATCTCTAAAACCAAGGTGTTTTTTTTACTCAGTATAATGCGTATCATAACCAACGCAAGTTGTAACTTCATTGGGATGGATCGTCATTATTGTGATTGTGATTATCGTTATCCTTTTTGCTTCATCATTATCGTAAAGGTCATCGATATCATTATCGTTACTTTCAATTCTTTTCTGCATTCATTTTTTTCGTTGTCGTTGTTGCTAAATTCGTTTTCTTCCTCCTGCAGAAAGTGACAACGTCTACATTTTGGGTGATACTTGTCGCTGTCAATTTAGGATCATTATATATATACGTAGCTTTTGCCAGACAGCTTGTTATATAACTTTCTCGTATGGTGTTCTTTTATTTTTGTTTAAATAAGCGCGGTCGCAACTAGTAAAGCAATGTGTGGATTTGACTTTAACGATAGTTTACTCGTTCTCTCTCTACTTTTTCTAACTAGTAAAATGTGATTTATTTTCAGATGCGGCGAACATGACCAATGTTAGCGACCACCAAACTGTGCAAGAAGGATCTTATCTTCAACTGTTATGTCAAGCATTTGGCAATCCAACCCCAAACATAGCGTGGACCAAAGTGCTTGAAAAATTAATAGTAACGATAGTAAAGTGCTGCATCGCGGAACCTATTGGGATTTTGCAAAAATTAACAGAATTGCTTCTGGAACATACAGCCGACAATGGAATTAGAAATCCAGTGTGGCGTTGAAGTCAATGTTACCCGTAAGGGTATTTCACCTTGTCACTGCTTTGATTGGCGTTGAGAATTTCCACTCTATTTTTCCATCTCCCAAAACGACTGGTAAACCAAAAAATACCACGGTTGGCGTTCAAGAAGTATGAGCGATAAACATCTCTAACAAGGTATTTCAAAAAAAAACTTGACCGGGTGAAAGCATTTGTAAAAAGTACTCTTGTCGGCGTCAAGGACTGACGTTTCGACGACATATACAGAAACTGAAAAGTTGCTTGTCAAAGATAGGTGAAAGGGTTATGGTAAATGTTCGGCCCGTTTTACTGTGATCTTGTTTACTACAAAAAGTTAATCAGCGTCAGCAATTCATCCTAACAGCAGACGCTAGCTGAAGTGGATTATTTTACTCTTCTCTGCTTGTTTTTGTTACTTAGATTCTGCTAAGGTTGTTAAACTTGCTCGCGAACATCACGTTTCAGTACAAAGAAGTGTGCGTCTTCACTGCGAAGTCGAAGGAAATCCTCCGCCTGCTTACACGTGGTTCCCTTGTGATTCACAGACCCAAGTATGTCATGAGAGCACACTTACTGTTTCCAACGCTCTTAACTACGCCGTGTACTCTTGCAATGTGGCAAATGTTTTGGGCAATGATACAAGAGAGACCAAAGTTGTTGATTGTTGCTTTTGATTAAGCGATGCTAACTTAGAGTTATGAGGAATTTTACATAGCTTCCTTTATGAAAATTTAATAACAACTTCGCAGATCTCCTTTGGTATAACAAACGATCACTGAATGCAACTTATTCCTAAATGTATTTAAACCTGATCATCACCTGCAAATAATTATATATATTCAAGGAAAGTTTAATCATACTCGGCCAAGCACTGGAATAGCTAATATTATGAAATGATTAAGATTTCAGGGGGTCATAATCAGTCATATCTTTCTTTGTGGAAACCCATAAGTCATCATGCTAGCCATACCATGCTGACGAGGCTCAGCAAGACTGAAATAGCTGACATAGTTGTTAACTCGGTGTCTTAATTTTCCCGCTTATTTTCTTTGAAAAAGACCTCACTTGACTTCCATTGTTGCCGCTGTGTCGCCTCCAGTAGCATAACACAGCTTTAAACTAATGTTGCTTGTTTGTTTTATCAAATAGTTATAGCAGGCAATGTGATAAATGTGACACTTTTCATCAGTGAACAGTGTCCTGATGAAAATTTATCTGAATCCGTGTTGTGGAAGAACCTCGAACAAAAGGTAACTATTAGGCATGTGACACCACCACACACGTAAATAGATACCTTTATTCAGCAGAACGGTGATGATGTACATATGGGGTTCGCACTGTATAATTTTGCTATCGTTTCTTGTAGATTGAGGACCTATTTAAAAATGAAGGATACAGGAGCACAGAATTAACAAATTACAGGTATGTAGGCGAAATGAATTATTACCTGGGTAATCTGTCCTTTTTATGTATTTAGAAAGATGTTGCTGTGGACTTACTGTGACTCAGGCAAAAACATGATGTATTACAATAGCTGGAATTCCTACCCTACTCTTTACGAAATGTGTGCAGGTTATTTTTCAGTCCTCTGTTGAACTTATTACATTGAGGATGCACGAGAAAGGGGCCTAAGGTTTGCAGCCAGTTACTCTGAGATACTAGAAAGTCTTAGGATTTACAGCTGTTCTTATAAGTAGACCTGTTTTTAAATTCTTGTTTTTGTTCTGACCCTCCAAGGTGTGGTAGTGTGATTGTTGATTTGGCCTTGAAGTTCAATTCCTCTGTTAAAGAAGAGAAGGTGCTTTCAATGCTAAAAGATTCTTCAGAGAATGGAGGGCTGGGTGTAAAAGCTTCAGAAATAGTAGGTTGGCGACCCGGAAGGCCAACTGAAGGACCCAACAGCTCAACGTATGGCACAAAATCTACTGAAAATGCATATAAGTAGGAATGAAAAGCGAGGATATCACTAGGACCAGTCCAGGACATTATTAGTTGCTGTAAGATGTGGTGTGTTATAATTTTTTTAATCACCTTTTAAAGTTGATAACTTACAAGTATAGATAAATCGATGCCACTATTGTCTCCGGAGGGGAATCGATTCGTTGGTAAGGCAAGCTCCTGACGTAATTATATTTGCTAGGATATTCCGAAGTGTGGCCAACAATATCAATTTTAAAAAACACTACATGATGGACGATTTTTGTTTTCTTCTGTCAGATATAGTAATGTTAAAAGTAGAAAACATGAAAAACTGCTGAAAGCTTTGGCTACTTAACCTTTTTCAGCATTGTGATTTGCGACTCGTGACTCTTTACATTCGCTAGCCAGTGAATTTAAACTTGTTTGTGCTTGCATTAAATTGAATGCCTCAGCTTTACATTAGTTACGTTTACATTACTTCCTTTCCTCAGCATCCGCTGTACCTTCCGAACTCCCTGCTCAGAGCGGGGATAACCAAGGTGTTAAGAATTGGGTGATTGCTGTTATAGCTGGTGTTTCTGGTCTTGTCCTCCTCTTTGTCGTTATATTCTTACTTTGTTGGATAAGTAAAACTCAGAAGAAGAAGAAGGGCTCCGGAGGTAAGAAAATCACGCTATAAGTATTACCATTAGTGTAACACTGACACCACTATCGTTTCATCTTCCGCGATTTGGAAGCATTTTTAATTATGGTATTTTTTTTTTTTTTATCCCACCCCCCCCCCCAGGGGGGCGAGAAGGTTCATGTAAAAGTAAAAGCCGCTACCAAAGCTGTTTTCCTCGACTTTGAACATACATGTCCAATGTTGTTGTGTAAATCAAGTTGGTGTCGATTACATCAAAAGCTAAGAGAAACGCGACTTAAGTTTGTGCCTGGTATTCTCTTTACTTTGGGTGACAATACGAGAGATGGTTTCCCTTTGCTGATACTCCACGACCACGTGAGCTTCATGCTAATTACTTTCAGACCTCTTTTTTATTATGAATAATTTCTTCGAGTTTACGATGTAACATAGTTTAATCTGATGATAGTAACGGGCATGTCATATTAACAAATACTTATACATTTCTTTTTGCTTTCTTTCAAGATGAAGCCGTTGACATGTCGACTACTTCGAGGTAAATTTTACTTTTTTCTGTTGTGATACTTTTCATGCGAAAGAGCGCTGTCAAATCTGCTTTCGCTTTTTACAGGTAAAGTAAAATTGGTTACCGGGTTTGATCGACTAGTTTTATTAATTCACCAACAGACGCACCAAATTGCGGTAATTACAACGTTTGGCTTGCAATCAACAACTGATTACGTTTGTGTAGCTCCAAATAAGCGATCAAACGGATCACTGAGAGATGAAAAGTACGGCCAGGTCGCTTAGCTAGAGTGACATTGGCGGCGTTAAAGGGTAAATTTCCCACTTTCAAAGGCGAATTTCATTTGGTGAGGAGGATCTCACGCTGATAAGAACACTCTTGAGGTTACTTTGTTATACATCATTTACTTCATACAAATTGACGTTGGCGGAAGGCAATGTTTGATATCTGTGATATCTGTTTGATATCTTGTAGCTATTTGATACTGGAGAGAGCCTTTTTGTTGGAGTCAAACACATTCTCCAGTTTTTGTGATTCGCTTTATTCATTCGTCCGTTTCTTTTTTCTTTTTTTGTTTAGGTATGTAAAGAATGGCCCCCACCATTCTGACAAGCCTAGCTCTAGCAGGGAATCTATTGAAGATGATCCATTCATTGCTGCGTCCACTTATTCCCAGAATTCAGTCAATAGAAGGGACAGGAAGAGAGATTCCAGTGTCAACTATGGATACCAACCAGACGGTAGAGAACTTAGGCTTAAGCCAACATTCTTGATCCATATGATGCCTTATAAGGCTAACCGTACAGAGTTTTCTTGATAACGTTGAATGTGGCTGTAATTAATGTAAAGTGTTTTCATAGGAACATAACTCAGATCGCAGCCATAGTTTATTCCAGTTCCTGAAGCGTGAAGGTAGCCGGTTTGTTGGCTGCTTTCTGTGGATGGGATGTTAGCTCGTTGAAGTTATCCCCTTTACCCAATATTTCGTCTGGTTTCTCATCTACAAGTGAGGGGCCAAGAAACTTAATAATCCCCATTGAAATGTTACCTAGCAACCGCCAAACGCCCCAAAAAGATGATACATGAGTCGTCTTACTTACAAATCTTCCTTAAGGAATTTAAGATGTTCATGATCGTTTCCACCTACTCTTTTTCGTCGCTAGACCCTTTCAAAGCGAAGGACAAATCTGCTAAAGGACCAATTCTACATAATCCTGGCAACTTGGATCTTGATGGCCCCGCTAATGCATCTACAAGTGAGGGGCCAAGAAACTTAATAATCCCCATTGAAATGTTACCTAGCAACCGCCAAACGCCCCAAAAAGATGATACAGGTAGGTAACCAAGTGTTAAATCTACGGGGTCGACTAAAGAACCAAAATAAAAAAGGGAGAGAAGTTCGAGAGTTTATTTCCTGCGTTAAGAAATATCTTATGATAACCTCGAGCTGTGGTGTTATAACTTAAAAAATCTTTTCCATGGCTTATCTGTTCTTTTCCGGAGCCTTCCGTGGTCGCGTGAGGGCTCTTGACCAATAAGGGTCAGTGTTATAAAGACGTCGTTTGATATCATGGCCACATATGACACAAAAGTGAAATATTTCCATTAAGGAACGATCCACATTTGCAGTCATACTTCCGACTTTGCAACTACGAAGACACAGTGTGTGATAACTAAGTGTTATTGTTCTTCCTTCAGCCTTGACAACTGAAAAGTTTACTTACATCTAGTGTTATTTCCACGCAGAAAATGGAAAATCAGAGCCTTCATCACCTCTTAATTTCACTATGGAAAAACGTCCACGGAACAGTTCAAGCGGCGTTGCACGTTATCAGCCGGAGCGGAGTAAACTGGTAAAGTTCATGGAATAGGATAGATTTTTCATTTCCGAAGTTAACTTTTACTCCACATACTCCAAAATAATCATGTACTTTGAAGTTGATCAAACACAGAGACGATTCTCTCGTAAAAAAACATAGCTTTGACATACGATGCTCTGATGTTTATGATATACCAGCCAAACAAGAGGAGAAAATTATATTTCTTTCCCTCACCCACTGCGCAAAATCTTGCGTTTAGCCGGCAAGCTTCTCTATTCTATGGACCAGAGGAGACATACTTACCTTTGTAAAACTCAGTTTATGAAACATGGAGTGTATGAAGGAAAGGAACACCAATTTTCTTTTCTGCGCGTATCATAAGAAATAGTTGGGGATGATAATTGTTCAGCCCTGTTATCCTCGTGAAGGGAAAGGTAAGATCGGTAAGATGACTTTGCCATAAGTAGTCTAATGTATAAGAAAATACACGCATCTCATTTATTAAAAACAGAATTTCTTCATGTTTACAGCTGTCTGAAAATCTTTCCACTTTAAGAGAATTTTTCGATGTGACTGTCAACCATTTCGTCTTGATAAAAGCGTCGCCTTAAGTATAGTAGATTCGATGTTGAAACGATGCAATAGTAACTAATTTAGGTCACATGATATCTTGTTACAAAAGGTAAGATTTACGTTCAGTGAATATCGACTCCTCTGACGATTGATTGTACCTATGCTGTCCTTCAATTCCTTAGGAGCAAAAGAATCATGTTGGCCTGAAATGAAGACCGTCTACTCTGTTATAATTACGTGTAATTAATATCTGTTTGGCAATTGGTGTTTGACGTTAACCATATGTCATGCAGATAATATTTGGATACAGATCTTTGCAGGCTGTTCAAAACGACTCCCATCCAGAGTTTACTGTGTTGTATTTACAAATCAGATCACCTTAAAACTGATTCCCAAGTACGTGATTCTGGTTGAAATTTGGATGAGATTTCCTATGAAATCTCAAGCACTCTTCCTTGCCTTATTTAATCGCTTTCTATCATAAGAGAGGTCATGGTAGCCTACGAGTGGCCGTACCCTCCCCTGCGAGGTAAAACGGAAGCGAGGGACCGTCTACGAAAACCTGACACTATTTAATCTATGCAACAGTACGTAACTTGATAATATTTCTGCGAAATGGCCTACGAAACCGCTAGAAGGGAAACAAACGGACTCAGCAATGCTCCCTTCGAGATTCAGCCCGCAAAGCGTCAGCGGGATGGAATTTAAAGATCCTCATGGACCGTGGTCTCGGGCCCGTTGCTCGTGTCAGCATGGGTTGAAAATTTTACTAATAGTAAATAACAAAAGTGCCGACGTGCAGGTGCATAATGAAAGCGAGTAGCAAGCAAAATCTATTCCAAAAGCTATTGTGGTTTTATACATTTTTTAATTTACTAAAATAGAAGAACTTGAATGAAATTGAATAAATTGGAAATGGTTAAATGTGAAAGTTTACGAATAAATATGTTGCAAACAAACACACGAAAAAATCAGTAAGTTTTTCCGTAACACCCGGGTTAGTTTTACCCTACGGATGAGATATTGCTGCGATAGGAATTAAGCTCAGTAGAAGATGAACTGCAGATTCACATCGCTGGCATTTGCACTTGGCTGTTGGATTATGACTCAATGCCTCTAATAATAACAATAATAATAATAATGATAATAATAATAATAATAATAATAATAATAATAATAATAACAACTTTATTTAAGGAGGGTAACACACAATAATTCAAATGATGAACTAGTGTCCCTCGATCCTAAAGTACCGTATTTAGAATTGAAATGTATTTGAGGATTATAAAACTGGTCAACAGGTCTATAAGAATGCAAGCTAAAAACTAGATAAAATAAAATATGCCGCTTGGGTTAGGTTAAATCGCCTTCAGACTAAAATACTCTACTTCATCGCAGCTCGTTAGAAAATGTCTATGAAAGGTCTTTCTGGAAAAAGCAACTGTTGTCGCCTCTTTTTTAGGTCAATGGGTAGTTGGTTCCACAGCCTTGTCGCAAATACGCTAAAGGACCTCCCTCCCTCGGTTTCGCGATTGAAACGAGGGCAGGCGAGATTTAATTTATTATAACGACCAGTTCGTGTGGGTAGGTCTGCATTAAATTTGAGCAGATCGTACATATAAGCAGGACAGCTTCCTTGTTAACGCTTATAAACTAAAGTACTCTCAATAAACTTAACTTCGTCATAGAAAGGGAGCCATGCTAATTTCTTAAAGAGTTTCACGCTGTTCGACCTTGTGACAGCTTCCAAGGTAACTCGGGAAGCGCGTTTTTGAAGCTAGAAGACCCTCATCATGTTATCACTTGAACAGTTCGATCAAACAGTTGATCCATATAACATTAGTTGTGTTATCATTGCGTTATAGTATTATACGGGCTGTTCAATGGGGAGGAATCTTCTTATCTTCCTAAGCACTGCTTTTCTTTGGGATAGCATCCTACACAGTTCTTCAACGTGAATATTAAAGCTTAAGTGTCGGTCAGTGGTAAGTCCCAGGAGTTTCTAACGATCCACGTGCTCTATATTTGAGTTCCCAAGATAAAGATTTAATAAACTATCGACGATCTGATTTGTAAGGCGCTTCCTGGTCACTAAGAGACATTTCGTCTTGGCAGCGTTCGTGACCATCTTGTTGGCAGCTGATCGCTGCGAAAGGTCATCTAGGTCTTGTTGAAGGGCTGATGTGATGCAAAGAAGTCCATCTGTCGTCGGATGAGAAACCGCATAGATGTCAACGGTAGAACGCTGAGCTGCTAAGGGTAGGTCGTTGATAAAAAGAAGAAACATAACGAGGCCCAATATACTCCCTTGTGGTACTCCAGCCGTCACAGTTCTTGGGGAGGAGAGACATCCGTCAATGACTACGTACTGTTTGCTTTCACTCAGATAGTTGCGTAGTAAGTCTAGTTCGTGACCCAGAGACATGAGGGGACGCAAATCGTCTGTACTGTAAGTATCCCGGAGAGTCCCCTACATTTTCTTAGACTTTTGATCTAAGAAAATGTATGGGGACTGTAAGGTGTCATAATCCTGTTGCTGCTGACATCGATGTGACAGATAATTGCTTTTGCACTGTTTTCTTTGCCGGCTTATACTTGTCATCAAGTTTCAATAAGACGGCTATCATTTTCACAAGAATAATGAAGTTTTCGTAAATTGTGAGATCGGATGGGATTAAAATGGGATTAAATCACCTACAGAGCTTGATATGTACTTACAGTGCAGACGATTTGCGTCCCCTCATGATTCAGTTTCGTTAGAAGGAGATCATGGTCTATGAGGTCAAATACTTTCTTGTAGTCAATAAATACTAGTCCCGTTCCTCAGTTTTTGTCTAAGTCAAGGAGAAGCTTGTCGATTAGTGGAATGAGGGCGGTCTCGGTGGAGTGGAATTTGCAGAATCCGGACTGGAGGTGATGAAGCAACTAAGTCAGAATCCGTGCTAGGAAGCAACGCTGATTACCCTCGATTTAAGGTTAGGCGAACAAGAATGGAGGCCCGCTTGGGCACGTCCTCGTGCATGTCCAGGTGCCGTCATTGGGGAACAAGAGCCCCCGTTGCACTACCGATAGCAAACTGGAACGTTTCCGGTGATAAACCCTTTGCAGACGAATTAAATAAAGAACGGGGTATTGTAAGTTGTAGAGTAGCCTTGTTGCTACGATCTTCTGAGATTAAGCCTTTGTTCTAAGATTTGTTTCTTTCCAAATTTTTTTTTTAATGATTGACCAGCCAAGAACAAAATCTCCAAGCCAACACATTCAAACAAAAAGCATTTTTAAAACGGTTCTTTTTGTTTGTTTGTTGTTGTTTTTTTTTGATAAAATTCAAATTTTAGCGTGTTTCCCTTTCTGGAGAGGGTGTCGTAGAATCGATTACAGTTTCGTGTCTGGTTAAATGTTTCTCCTTTCTACAAGACAATTTCAGTTTCTTTACTTCTTCCTTAATATCTCTTCTCAGGAAGGTGTACACAAATGGATTAATCGCGGAGTTCGCTACCAACATGAGCCGACGAATCATCTGAATTATTTCAGTGTCATCGCAGAGTTTTAAAACATTTTTGCACATCGTGTAATAAGCTTCCAAGGCGTAACAGAATACAAACAGAAATGTGACCATCAAAATCATCTTCAAAGCTCTTGATCCTTCTCGCTGATTCTCCTTTTTAGCTTTTCCTTTCGATCTGTTCTTGTGTTTTGTTTGTTCTCTTTTGGCAACGATGCTTATTCGCAGGGCAGCGAAGAGAATGAGTAAACACGGAAGAACCTCAAATATTATGACTATCACAGGAAGAAAGTACTTGAATGCTTCCCTCTTATGCAGATAATAAAGGGGAGTGAAGACAACA